CAGGACATCAGCTATAAATCTCCAGATAAAATATACATTTTTGTCATTTGGCACTTTGGTCTGCACGGTTTCCTTGAAATGCTTCCTTTTATATACAATGAATGAAAACAATGACTTCTTTTCCTTTTCCTATAAATGACATACCACACTACTCTGCAGCTTGAACTTTTGGAGATCCCCTTTAGGACCAAATCAGGCCTTTGACTTTGTAGTAGAGACTTGTAGAAACTACCAGTCTCTGCTTTTAATGTGGACCACCCCTTCAAAAAAACACCAGTGCCATCTACAACTGTGGTAAATAAGTACCACACCACACCAAGTATATGCAATACTTACATATGTCCATGCACTTTTTTTTTTTACATATTCAGCCACGTTCACACTGCATCCGTTCTGCCTGCACCCCACAACGCCATTTTTATAAAGAACAGCATGATAATCCTTTTCTGTCCACTGATGTTTGTGGCTCATCAAGTAGATGAACACACAGAGTCCCTTCACACTCCACACAACGCTCCCGGCACATAAAACAAATGGTCCTCGCAGTGATCACCACACATGGCGCCTTGCACACAGGAAAGTGGATAAGGATCACCAGCACTCAGCAATCATGATATTGCTGAGTGCTGGTGATCCTTATCCACTTTCCTGTGGCTCATCAAGGGTAATGTCCAACAGAGCGTGTGTGAGATGAGGCACACGATGTCATGTAGCATACAATAATACACTAATCCAGGGCTCAAAAAAAATTCACTCGCCTGCTCGCATTTTGAGAGTAAAAATAAGGTGAGGGCGAGTGGAAATTTGGGTCTCCAAGTACCGGCTCACGGCCCATCTCCGGCCCATAGCCAGCTGACATGTCAGGCTCACGGTCGCATACCGCGTACTTGACTTGCGTGAGAAGCTCCACAGTCTGCATTTGTGCCGGATGCAGACCCCAGAGCAGCTCCTGTCAGCTCTGGCTTCCTTCGGCCGGAGCTCCGACAGTTCTGAGCTCCGGCCGAAAGAATGTATGTGAGGAGGATCGATGCCTGGTTATCTGGGGGTGATAAGGGGAGGGCTTTCGATGACTGCAGTGCTGAGTGGGCAGTGTGCGCTTGCGCACACCAGCCCATGCGGCATTTGTCTTCCGACCACACCACCAGCCCGCCAAAAATAGTACGCTTTTCGGCAGGTTTTCCAGCGTGCCTGGAAGACGAAAGTCGTACGACCTTACAGTAGAAGCGTTCGCACGATGCCCATACACCTGCCGATTATCGTACGATCACCCACAACTATTGTACGATACTCTGCAGGTGTATGGACACCTTTAGTGTGTGTGTGTATATTAGGCCCCATTCACACTTACAGTATATTTCAGGTGTGATTAGAGATTCCTGTGTCAGGAACTTGTGTTTTCCTGCAGCAGGAATCCCTAATATGCCGTTTACAAGCGGCAACTATCATAAGATAAGAATTATCATAAGATTATTTAAGAGGGTGTGTTGAGGGGCAGAGTTAAGGCAGGGGCAGGGTAAGGGTTAGGTGGGGCAACTGGTGGCTAGTGACTCTTAAGGCCTGGCCAGTAGCTCAGGACTTGAAATTTTTAGCCCTGCACTAATCTATTGAAAGAAAAAAAAAAAAAGCCTTTTTCTTGTGAGCTTTCATTTTCTTATAAGATTCACAGTTAAAGTAGTATTAAGGTCTGGGCGTTTTTTTACATTAATGCATTCTCTACATTAGGGTAAAAACGGCCCAGCAACTTTTTTCTACACCAGTCCCCCCCAGACTTACCTCTCAGCTGTGCTCGTCCCCGCCGTTGGTCCTAAGAGATCCTTCGTTCCCCGAGCTTCCGGGTTGCGGGGGGAGGATACTGATGGCAGAGGAGCCATAGGCTCCTTCTGCCATCAATCAAAGAGGGAAGGGGCGTGGCCTGCCACAGGGCTGTGTGTGTCTATGTTCTAAGAAGAACCAGGAAGTGGAAACACATTAGAAGGTACGTAAAAGCACAAATCTTTTGTCTTTTGAAGAAATGACTGTTAGATGGTTTCACATCAGCTTTAGTTAAAGGGAGAAAGGTCCACTGTAATAAACTCTTAGTTTCAAATGACCATCACCTGTGTAGCCTTAGGGCATGCTTTTGGATGAGTAGGGTGACTGCCTTTAAATGTATCATTTGAAGAGATGTCACCAGCACACCAAAAATCCTTTCAGGATAACCATGTGTTCATTTAATAAGAACCATGTCAAGTAAAAACAAGCGCTTGCAAGGATTTTTAGTGTGCTGGTGACATCTCTTCAAATGATCCATGTAACTAGCGGTGCCATCCGCAGTCACTACAAGCACCCTCCCCTGTCGTTGGGGTATCCGGTAAGGAGTGCAATAGGTCTCTCTCTATATTCTGCCTTTAAATGCGTCTCCTGGAATTAAAGAAAAAATTATATAGTACTGAACAAGGGTTTCTATTTTTTGGACCCTGAAGTGGTCAAAAGTTTTGACGACTTCACTAAATCTCCACTACTTGCAAATGCAAAGACTACAAACATACACTTACTTGCAGGGAACTGAATTGTACCATTCAGTATGGGTTTTTTTTGCATTTCATAATACCTAATCTAGAAGTTTAATAGTACCTGATATTATACATGTTTGCCAGCAATTGTTATCCTGACTAGGAGTTCATCTTTAAGCAGACTCCCCATTGTTGCTGCTGTAATTCCTCGTTATGATTATTAACATTCGGCAGTATTTTAGGAGCAAACATGTAGCATGGTAACTTGTTTACAATGCAATGTGCAGGTGTGCGGAATAACTGGACACACTGGCTTATTAGAGCAGTTGCCATGGATATATAATACTCCATTGTGCTGCTGCCACTATGGACTAGTTGTACTGGAGCACATACAGCAAGATGTTTTTTTTTCCTGGAATACATCCCATTGTTACATTAGTAGGATTTGGTCTGCTAGGGAACAATATGGGGCACGTCTAGTCTTCACAGCAGCAGATGTTCTCATTTTCATACAGAATTCTACATGATATGAAGGTATAATGTGAATATCAGTCTCCATGTTCACTCATAACAACCACTGATTAAATCCATGACAGCTGTGTGCCAAGCAACAGAATTCACATTCATCTCGCAGTATGAACCCAAATGAACGGTCATATCTGCTCTAGCTTTGTTAAACTCATTTAGTAAATAATAAGACTGTGCTTCTAATAGTAGTGGCATTTAAATAGCGACTCCAGGAAACAAGCAACAAGGATCAACCGCTAATGCGAACCAGCAAATAATGCAAATGTACTAAAGTCAGAAAGCAGACTCAAATTACTTTTAACTAGAACTCTACAGTATGCAAATGTACCCAGAATCTGCACGTTTCTAACAATGCTGATCGCAAGATTCTTTGCAATCTCCTTCTCCGAGAACTACATAGCCCTTTATACAGTACATTGTCTAGGAGGGGGTGCAGTTAACCAAATATAAAGCTCAGACTGGACAGCTCTTGGGCTGACTCAGTTCTCCCCAAATGCAATAGACTTGCCTTGCGTCGGACCATAGCGAAGTCCGCCGCCAACCAATCCCGGCGCGTCAAGCCGCCCCTCCTTCCGGTCGGCTGTCGAACATAAGCCGCGCTATTCTAATCGTCCTGTTAATGTTACACGATGCTGAGCAGTTCACAGCTCAGATCCAACCACCCTGCTTGGCTCCTCTGAACCCTGTCACCACGGAACTGAGAGGCCATGCCAGCAATGCTTCTTCAGAGTTAAAGGAGCAGTGGATAAAGTAGGGGAGCAGTGCGCAAAAAGTTCACTGCCTCAAAACGAATGGTGCTTCTTTACTACTGCCACGGATTAACGATTGCACCATCTGTATAAAGCAATCCTCGATCTACAAACTGCAAGTATCCCCTCATTCCCATAGACAGTGCTATCATTCATATACTGGAGTTAATGCGATTGGAGGAGTTACACTGACTATCTTATTGAACTTTCAATGCATATACTTTATTGCTAATTCCCGTGTGAGGAAACATAGGATTGCTTTGGACTAAACTACATGTTGCCACAGTAGATGATTGCTCAACTAACTGGACCTTCCAGCCTATAGCCATTGGGGATAATTCCTGCGTGAGGAATATAGAAGTGCATGGACTGAGCAGCATACTACTGCATAGATTGTATGAAGTAATACACTTTTATAACCTGTTTGCTACGGACTTGTGTTTATATATTACAAGTTCGTCAACCCTTGAATCTCCACGTTACTCCCAACCTACCTTCCTTGGTTGATGAACTTGTGCTGCTGGTTGTGGATTGTCATGAGAGGTGTGTTGTGATACTGCTGCACATAAACTAATTGACGTGTCTTCTGACTATGCAACTGAGATCCTAACCAGCTAATTATTAAAATACCCAAAGAGGCACCAAAGAGGACTGTGACTCTTAAGGTGGGCCTAAATTCAAAAGAAGATGATCTGCTTTGTTACCGGGAACATCTATAAATGATAATTGTGCCTTAGCAGTACCCTGAAAAATCTACAATTTATCCTAAAAATGTAGTATGTAAGTATGCCTAGACACTCCTGTACCTACAGCCTCATAGCTTTATATCTGCAGTGTGAAATCTAAGGCACCGCTGACTAACTGCTAGTATCATGAGATTTGGAGTGAGATTTGGTGTGGTCACTACTGCACTAATCACTGTTCTCCTTGCTGGAGAAGAATTAGCACTGCATGCATCTCCCTGCTTCTGCTTTCTTTTGCTTGAATTATGTGGCTCTTAGTTTTGTGAACCTCTCCTACTTCTTAAATATCTTCCTTCCACCAGTCAACAGATTACCAGTCATCAGGAGGGCAGATCTAACCTGAGGAAGAGATATCCGATTCCTCTAAGATGGCGTCCCCGGCACAGAAATACGGTGAACAAGGCATGGTCAACAGTCAATAATAGGGAAAATTGACAACCCCGTTACAAATATAATAACGGAATGTCACATATGTAGCAGGCACTTACCATTCAGGGGGCACCATACTGCCATCCAGATTCCAATAAGTGTATTTTCCATTCATCTCAGATGTGTAGTCTACCCATCGGTGACGTGCTGCAAAAGTAAATGGTTTAGCATTATAAAAAAATAAATAAATATTGAGGGTTTTTTTTTTTAGATATGTGTTTTTTTCCCCACGCACATCTTATAGACAGATATGTGCGGATGGGTAGTTGCAGCTGTGGGTTGATTGTAGTATGGTTTCCTTAAACAGCTGGCAGGTAAATGTTTTACACTTTCTTCGATAGCCATCATAGATCCTGCTGCATGCAAGCACATGCAGCAGGATCTATGGTTTATTTTAATTCAACAACAAGCTTTTACCGGCAGGTACGATTAAGATTCTTAGGTTGCTCTAGAACAATTCTGTGTCCTGTGTGCACATACCTGCAATGTGCAAACATTTGGGCACCCTGGTCACATGACATATTTTGATGATTTCCAAGTGAGAAGTCAGCACAACCTCTACTACAAATATATTTCAAAGTCAGATATTTATGCAGATATAATGCACAATTACTATCCAATAAATCTGTCAGAAAGAAATGTGGCATGTGCATAAGTTTGGGTGCTGTCAGTACTTAGTAACACCCTCTTTGTAGAAATCATACCTTCCAAATGTTTCAGGTAGGCAACTAGCAGTCATTGTGATGTCGCGTAAGAATTTTTTCACTCATTCCTGCAGAATGCTTTTAGTTCAGAAATCTTAGAAAGGTTATTATGCATGCGCTGCATGTTTGAGATCGGCAAAAAATGATCACTGCATCCTGTAAGTAAATAGGTATAGTGCATTCAGATTTACAGAGAGGTTACGGTTGAGTTTTTCCATGCAGTGGTTGTGTTGACAGGGACAGGAACCGGGGCACAGGGACAAGGGTTGAACTGCTCCTATAGAGATGCACACAGCAATAAGAGCATTTTTTTTAAAGTAGAGTGAAGAATATGTAGATCCTTTGCCACGCTTCCATCGTTGTTCCAGTTGGAAAGATTCACCCACACTCGGTCCTGGTGACCAGTGTCATGCAGACAGCAATAATAATCTGACAAGAGTTTATAACTCCTCCCAACTAAATCCAAAGCTAAGTAAACCATTGTATCTGGAAGTCCACTACAATGTGTCACATTGGCAGATGCAGAACACAGTAATCCATATAATCTAAAAATAATTATTGCTCGATTAATCTGATTTGAATTTAAAACAGTAAAGATTTAATAGAAAATAGCATAATAGTAGTAAGCAACCTAAAAATGATCTATGAGATCTAAAAGTCATCCCTAGTAGATTCAGGATATAGACCATATATCTGTTCTAGACCAAAGTTTCCTGAATTCAACTAGCAATGTTTATGTAAAAATCAGCATTTCCAACATTTTGGAACAAAAACCAGCATCTGTATTCTGAACAAGTCAAATACAGAATGATGTAAAGTAAAACCTTAATTATGTAAACAACAGTTTGGAGCAACAGCCAAAAAACAGGCAGATTTTAACCAAGGACCACAAGAATGGAGAACCTGCAATGCAAAGCAAAAAAAAAAACAAAAAAAAAAAAAACAGACTCACATGTCTGATTTAGACAATAAAGAAAATGGAGTGGATCTAGCAGAGGGGTTAAAATACTGACCACATGTTCTGAAACTTAGCACTGTCGTACAGATTATGGGGCTCATACACACTGCTGTCTGTTATGCCTTTTACACACAGTTAAATACAGATTGTTACATATCCAAACTGAAGCCAAAATGTTGCTTTAAAGCAGGGGTCTCAAACTCAATTCCCTCGAGGGCCACTCGACAATTTTTTCTCCCATGGGGGCCGCTCACCAAATTTCAAACTTTAAAAAGGAGAACTATGAGGTGAGTGATTTTCACTCAGCCTCATAGTTCGAGCCGACGTGTGACAATGTAACTGTCACACGTCGACTCAATAGGTCGAGAAGTGAGCGAACGCATACCGTCGCTCGCTCACTTCTCTACCCTGTCCCTGCAGAGAGCCGTGACTGTCAGTCATGGCTCCCTGCAGGGATCCCCCTCCGATCCTGCAGCGCTGACTGGAGGAACGAACTGGGGAGGGAGCGGGTACAGCTGCCTCTGCCTCTAGATAGGCAGAGGCAGCTGTCAATCACGCAGCTGGGGGGATCTCGACAGTAATGTCTGGATCCGTCCCGGCAGAAGCGGTCTCAGTATACCGCGAGCTGTAGCTCCCGGTATACTGAGCTTTGGGTCATGGGAGGACGCTAGTTTATGTCCTCCCGTGACCCTGAGGAGAACTATGGGGAAAAGCACTTACCCCATAGTTCTCCTTTAAAATAAAATGTAACTATATGCGATATGGTACTACAGACCCCAATACACACAATAAGGCCCCATTCATATCTGTAGGTTTAGGTGCAATTAGGGATTTCTGCGTCAGAAACTTGCGTTTTCCTGCAGCAGGAATGCCTAATCTGATGTTTACACGCGGCCGCTGTCACCCATTCAAGTTAATGATCAGGTGAAAGCAGTTGCATGTAAATGCCTGCACACCGCATGCAATGATATGTGATATTATTACATGCGGTTAGAAAACACTCTCCCTGGATACACAATCATTGCGTCCAGGGAGAGTGATTGATTCCTAACCGAATGTAATAATATCACATTACATGCGGTGTGCAGGCATTTACATGCAACTGCTGTCACCTGATCATTAACTTGAATAGGTGACAGCTGCCGCTTTTAAACGCCAGATTAGGGATTTCTGATGCAGGAAACGCATGTTCCTGATGCAGGAATCCATACATTGCACCTAAAAGATACAGGTGTAAATGGAGCCTAATACACTTATACTCTTTCTATCCGCCCCCCACTTCACATTAAAAAAAAAACCTATCCCTGCACATAAAATAATACACCCCCATACACATGAAAAAATACCCCCCCCACACAAAATATATATATAAGAGCGATTTCGCTCCTGATTGCATACAGCCCAATAGGAAAAAGTCGCTCAATATCGCTCGTCGCTCAATATCGCGCGATTTTCATGTCGCTCAGTGTGAATAGGGCCTTAAAGTGACTGTAATGAGAAAAGCATGGGGCTGCATCTACTGCCCCATTTTTTAAAATGATAGTTGTCTGGCTTCAATCATTTTGAGTCACAGACCTGAAACAAGCATGATGTAAATGCCTGTCGGTAAAGTATCAGAGTTCGTTATCTCTTTAATTGTTTCAGATCAGAGACAGAAGCTGCATATAAACTAATTGATTTCTGTCATTCAGGCTAATGGCTGAACAAAATAAAATCAGATTGCTCCATGCATGCTGAACAGCGTGGATAGAGGAACCCACTGCTCCCCTGGACTATTGTAGGGCTACAACAACTAATCGATTATAATTTATAATTAGAATCGTTGGCAACGATTCTAATCATCGATTTGTTGATTCCGCTCTGCTCCTCCGTTCTCCTTCCCGCTGGTGCTTGCTGCAGCGGTCTGTGTCTCTTTCAATCCCTGCTGCTCTCCCCGCCTGTATCGGCAGAGGGGACACAGACCACTGCAGCCGCACAAGCGGGGAGAAGAGACTGCGGTGACTCTGCAATCCCCCGCTGACCCCCGCCCGTGCCTCCGATGCTGCTCCGTTCCTCCTCCTCCGCCTGCCTCGCTCTTCCTCCTCCGCCTGCCTCGCTCTTCCTCCTCCGCCTGCCTCCTCCGGTGTTCTATCATTGATAGAACACCGGCGTCAAGTCTCCTATCTGCTGGCTGGAAACAATAGCCAGCCTGCTGTTGGTTATTTTAAATGGCTATTGCCAATAGCAGGCTGGCTATTGCACCCGTCCACTGCCTGCTGTCAATCAGCAGAGGAGGACCTGAAAGAGAACTTTCGCCTTCAGGTCCCTCCTCTGCTGTTTAACAGCAGGCAGTGGGTGGGTGCCATAGCCAACCTGCTATTGGCAATTGCCATTTAAAATATCCAATTGCAGGCTGGCTATTGCTCCCAGCCACTGCCTGCTGTGTTGACATTCAGCTGCCTCAGCAGCTGAATCCAGTGAAGTGGAAAGGTGATACTAAGGGTCTAAAAGACCCCTAATGTCATCCTAAAGAGAACCTGTCACCATCAATGTGCCATCACGTAAGGGGCTTGTAAGCCCCCCCACGTGATAGCAATGAGGTAAAAAAAAAAAATGTTAAAAAATTAAATAGAAAACCCCCCCCCCCCCAAAAAAAACCAACTGAAAGTCCTCCAACCCTGCAAGTGCGCGTATACTAACGGAAATACAAGTCAGGTGCACCTACATAGAAAACCAACGATTGCGCTACACGTCAGGTATCGCCGTGTATTTTATTTTAAATTACGGACGGTATTTTTTTTATCCGATTAATCGGGGGGAAAAAAAAAAATCGGCTAACTAGTAGATTATGAAAATAATTTTTAGCTGCAGCCCTAGACTATTGTATTCTGACAGCCAGCGCCCACTGCTCTCAGAATACCAGAACAGTGGCTGTAGCTGACAGACTGCCATCACTGTTAGTGGGCCTAAAATTGTCAACCTACTTGTGAAGTAAAAAGACCATACTCAGCCACGACATGCAGTCAGAACATTAAGCTACACTTGCAGGTTCTTGCCTTCAGTGTGCTGATGCCCTGAGCCTGCTCACATTCTGAACAGGGGAGGCATCAGAGGTCTACAGAAATTTGGCATCACCATAAAGAGAATCTGCACAGTAAAATAAAAAAAAATAAAAAAAACACAACAATTTTTACTCCTATGCTATGAACCTTGTCTGTACGTTGTGAAGGCTTTAATAGCCTTTGCTACTATACATTGAGTCCACTGTCATACCCTCCTCACTCCTCTCCTGCACATGCAGTGCCATCATACCCTCTCTACTCCTTAAATGCACACACTGCCCCCTCCTTATACCTTCCGCACCCCACTCCTGGAAATAGTGACCCCAGATCATACCCTCTGCACACTTCTCCTGAAAATAGTGCCCCCTCTCATACCCTCTAAACTGCACGTAGTTCCTTCTCTCATACCCACCACACTCCTTTACTATACATAGTGCCCCTTTCATACCCTCCACGCTCTTCTCCTGCACATACTTTCCAACAAAAAAACCTCAACCTTGCCATTCTTGAACAGGCACATTTGCTAGTTTATATAATATAATATATATATATATATATCTATATAGATATCTATATATCTCTCTATCTAAAACGCAATACATGCATTTACTTCACAAAATATAAAATTCCAGCCACAAATATTGCAGTTTTCTTTTGGCCTTAATACTTCCTGCCTAATGTCACAGCTTAGTGACTGGAAATGTGGGAGGCAAAGGCGTACATTGGGTGCTCACATCTCTGGTCCTTGGCCATGGCATTAGGCAAGAAATAGCAGGTAATCAGGGGTCTATTAGACCTCAATGGCTCCTTTTTGGATCACAGGTGAGTATATGGGTGCTATTCTTTGGTGGTTAGGGGGGCAGATGAAACGTAAGCCAGTTTGTCAACTTAAAGTGTATTTCCACTTTCACAGCTAAATAAGGTTAAAGGGCCTGTTCACACGACGTCCGTTTTCTGTGCTGACCTGACCTGACAAAATGCATCCCAATGTATCCCTATGTGTTTTATGGGTTACAGTTCTCACGTGCGCAGTCCGTTCAGGTTACGATACTGAATGTCACATTTTGTATGGTCAGGAAACGGACCGGAAACACAAAACGCATCAAAAACGCACTGCAGCTAGCATGCTGACAGCCCCACTCCAGCAAAAAAAAAAAATATATTTATTTTTTTTAACCTGGAACACATCAAAAACGCACTGCATCAGTAGCACCACGTCTGCAGATCCACACCTGATCAGGACCTGATATCATGTGAACAGGCCCTAAGACCTATTTTATATTTCTTGCATTTACCTAAAAATAAATAAAATAATGCTACTTGCAGTGTAAATTGCTTTTACTTGGGTTAGGGTCTCTTGGCTTCTTAACAGTTAAAATTCACACTTGTATCTTCTTCTTTGCAATGTTAGGAGGGGCTGTGAGGGATTAGTTAATTATTATTTGTAAAGTAGATTTGAACACTGCCTGTCCTAACAAAGGGTAAAGGATTACAACGCTGGCTTCTCCATTGTATGTGAATGAAGTTAATGAGAGGAACACAATCCACACATTTCAGTCCTAAGTATTTCTATAAGGACAGATCACTGTGAAGGTGCTCAGAAAAACCTGGATGTCACCTGCTGCAACAAACCACTTTAAAAAGGTATGTAATTATTTTTCAGTATGCTTTTTGAATGGGAACACATAACAAACATATAGTGGGGGTTTTCAAATTTGACTGCAATGGTGAAAATATACTTTCAGTAACCAAATAGCCAGTAACTAACAGATTATACAAGCAGAAAACACAATTTGGGAATAATCTTACCAAAGAAATAACGTTTGTCTTCATAATATTTATTGCCATACTTGTCCACGCCAATGAGTGTGCCGGTTTTCAATTCAGCAGATCTGCAAATATTTAGAAAATAAAATCCTATTAGCAAATAAACTATACCGTTTCTGGCTTTCTATATATCAAACGAAAGTTGAAGGACCGCATCCCATGCACTTAAGGAGATAAAACATTCTGTATGGGCATCCCTCTACTTTTTTCAGATAATTAATTTAATTTATCTGGAAACTGCATTATTGTGTGACTTGTGGGACCATGCTGTCCGGGGAAATTGCGAGCCAAGACTAGGCATGAGAACATGCACCTAGGGGGTGTGTCCATGACTGCCTGATCTCACAGTAAGGGGGTTAGATGATTCAAGATTAGTGGCGAATCAACAGTCAAGGTAAGTACTGAAGCCACAGCCTGGGCCACCAGTGGTTTTTAATTTTTATCAAATGTGGAACTGGGCTTTAAAACTGCAGTGCTTTCCATGTTACATTGCTTAAAGTGACATTAAAGTAAAAAAAAATTCCCTCCCCCCATGTTAATGTTAGCACTTACCTTAAATGAGGTCTCTTAATCCGATCATCTTCTTTGCTGATGTTTTCATCTGTCCCTCCAGCGGTGCGGCGGCTCTCCGATCCAGCGCTGACTCCTCTGTCCTTGCTGGTACTTCTGATCGCGCTGTGTCTGCATGCGGGTGCACGCTGTCCACTTACCGTGCGCCTCTGCTCGTCTCCCGGGCCGAAAATCTGAACTGCGCATGCGCCCGACCCAGGATGCTTTGCGGCCGCCCGAGCAGTTTCAGGATTCTCGGGGTGGGAGCGCACGGCGAAAACGGGGTTAAAGTGTTTTTTTGTTGTTTTTACTTTTTGTCTTTATCTACTGCTTACTAACAGTAGAAAAAGGCAAAAAAACAGAGGGTTCAGAAACCCTTTAATATTCGATTTACCTATACTTTAAAACACATGTACAGGTAAAACACTTTTGTTACTTTTAGATAGAGTAGAGAAGGGTTGAACCCCTTGTATTTTTTTTTTCTTTGTTTGCGGTCCATGTCTTGTTGGGGAGATTTCCCTTCAGTTGCTCTCGCAACAGGAAGTCAGAGAGAATTTCCGCAAAATGATGGGAAATCCCCATTAACTGCCACCAGAAAAGGTGGCCACATTGCAGCATTTCCCCTCATCTTTTGTTATGGTGACAGCTGTAAAATTTTAGATAACCCATCACTGTCATGGTCACAAGCAGGGGTGAGCTTCGACGAAGCCGACAGTGCCAGCCCACTTAACTGTGGCTGGGTCATTCTCTGGTCCACATCTGCACGTAAGCAGAGGGGCAGGGAGTTAGTGACATAATTGAGATCAGTGTAAAGCCGCCCATACACCTTGCGATCATCGGACGAAACTTTTCATCTGATGAACGAACTGTTGTACGATTTTCGGACGGCGGCCCCATCCTGCCCCGATTATCGCAAGGTTGGAAAAGCAGTAATTGATAGAAAGCACCTGGACTAATTACAGTAATAAGTACAAAGTAAAAAGTACATTAGACAGAATTTGGTGTTTTTGGCCCTATCATAAACTTCAACGGAAGCACCTGAAAAAGTGCAATCTCGCGTCTAAAGGTGCCCATACACCTTACTAATATCGGCTGATTTTTGTATGCGATCGCGTTTTCGTCCGATATTCGTAAGGTTGATGTGCAGTGTACAAACGCAAATACTGTACAATCGATCGACTTTTGACTAACCAGCAGGTTAGAAAACTTTGGTCGATCGTAAGATTTTTGCAAGGTTGCTGGCATTTCCATACGTCAAAATTTGTACGATTTACACTACACGTGCGCAGACGAAAATACGTGCTGAAAATACGTCTGCGCACGTGTAGTGTAAATCGTACAAATTTTGACGTATGGAAATGCCAGCAACCTTGCAAAAATCTTACGATCGACCAAAGTTTTCTAACCTGCTGGTTAGTCAAAAGTCGATCGATTGTACAGTATTTGCGTTTGTACACTGCACATCAACCTTACGAATATCGGACGAAAACGCGATCGCATACAAAAATCAGCCGATATTAGTAAGGTGTATGGGCACCTTTAGACGCGAGATTGCACTTTTTCAGGTGCTTCCGTTGAAGTTTATGATAGGGCCAAAAACACCAAATTCTGTCTAATGTACTTTTTGAAGTGACAGGAATCAAGCTACATGTGACACAAGTCTCAGATGTGAATGGGCAACATAAAAAACAATAGGACCCTTTTTGTGAAGCATTGTCGCACATAGGGAAACTGGTGACAAAATGCTCAGGTGTGGATAAGATCCAGCAGTCCAGAGATTCCAGTCAGACTACTACAGAGAAGCCCCTAGAAGGAGAGTATTCTGAACTTTATAGGGTGAGTGATTTTGGAGTACCTGTGACATGTATGACAAACTAAACATGATCCCATAATCCTACCATGAAAGTACCAGGGATTATGCTCATACACCCCTCTATTATCATATAAGAGCACATGATGCATTAAATGTAAACAAAGGTCAGGCAGTGTCATCGCCCAGCCAAGGTGACAGCAAGGTGGATGGCAAACAAATTGCTGCTACATCCGTCTTCAGGTGGCCGAACAAGATGATAAGAAGAAGAGCGTTCCCCAATCTAACCTGAGGAGCTGCCAGCAAGAGCCGATAATTCCCCTCGCCCGGATCTGCTGTAACCCCCTCCGCAGCACTTGAATGTACTCCGCCATGTTTCGTTTGGCTGCCCGAGTCCCACACACAGAGCTTCCGGCTGGAAACAAGAACAGCACACATAGTTCCGCAGACGCTCGAGCTGGAGACTTACATAAAGTGGAGTCCTGCTTCCGCTGTAACTAGTGGATGTCATTCAGCCGCTCTTAGGTGTACTGCAGGAGATTCTACGTCACTTATAATGAGAAAGAAGTAAAGTCCTAACAGCTCAACGGAATTCATTGTATTGGTACATGTTTCTGCCCTGTAGATTGGCATAACTTCTAAATTTCAGAGACGAGGAAGAGGCAGACTGCCTATGGCAGTATAACCTCCAGCCCTGCATTATAGGCAATAGATACCATTGCCACATACACTATATTGCCAAAAGTATTGGGACACCCTCCAAATCATTGGATTCAGGTGTTCTGTAAAATTTTGTTGCTACTAAATATTCCACGTTCAACAGTTAGAGGTATTATAACAAAGTGGAAGCAACTGGTAACAACGGCAACTCAGCCACAAAGTGGTAGGCCACGTCAGTGGCGTAACAACCGGGGGTGCGGGGGGGTCACTTGCCCCGGGCGCAGGACTGAGGGGGGGCGCCGTCACGACCCCCGCTAAACGAAGCCATGGCTCCCTCTCCCTGACACGATCACCTGGCTGTCATCGGGCGGCCGCTCGCTCTTCCGAGGCCACTGCGGGCGGCCCTCTACACTGCCTGATTACAGGCCCCATTCACATTGATTTGCATTTTGCGCAATATAGCGCAAATGCTTGCATTGAGCAAGTTAGAATCGCGGCAAAATCCACTCCAAAAAGGGTCCTTCTGTAGCGACCCGCGACGGACAGAGCCCCATTGAGATGCATTGGAGAGCGATTATTTTATAGAGGACCGTCGGGGGAACTGTTCTGGTATAAGTTCATGGTGCTTGCGTGTGATTGGATAATGGAAGTCAGCAGAGCTTTACCTCATTCAATTTCCTCCCAAAATGAAAACTCCCTTGCAAAAGGAACATGCTCTACTGCTTTAGTGAATCAGCCCCTATAAGTATCTATTCTGCTAGGTGAAAAGCAGGACATTTGTGGAGGAATTAGGAACAGCAAGATTTGCCTCTAAAACATTTTGGAGCTATGGATCTGGAGACAGGGATTGCTAGTGCACCTGCTAAAAGTTTTTACTATTATTGTTCTATTTTTGTGTCCCCTTTGGGGAGATTTCTCATCAATTTATGTCCTGATAGGAAAGGGGAATCTCCCCACCAGGGGCACAAACAGAAAAATAACCTTACAGAGGGTATAGTCCTTTCCTCTGCAATCCAAAATCAAATGAAAAAAGTTTTGACTTGGGTTAAGTTTTCCTTTATAGGGTCGGTCTATTGTAGTTACATGGTAAGTTCAGGGCTTGCAGTAGGAATCTGTCCTCCAGCATCTTTTGCGATGTGCGATAGTCATAATATTGGCTACCCTTTTAGGCAGGAATAGGTGACCAGACTGGCCTAGAGCGGGTGAGGTACTTCCTGCTTGGGATTTGATGCAGAGCAGACCTGTGTTAGGCGAAGTGCAGTGCTGTCAGAAGGCCTATTTCCCTAATGAAGAGGAATTTTAAACATTAAGAAAGTAATAAAAAAAAATGCTAGAAGGAAGGCTTTGTATTGTTGAATAGACCTACAATGATGCCCAAACTCGAAGACCAGGTGAACATGTTGGCACCAGCAAGAGAGTTCACAGGTGTCACATCTCTGTAGTATTATCAGAGTTTACTCCTGCTTTAAAGAGACACTAAACTTAGGAGTTAAATCTTAAAAATACATTCAAGTATGTTAACTATTAACATAAATATAGCTTATTTGTGTATCGCTCAGCTGTAGATCCTCAAACCATCTCTGAATTGGTGCTGACACTGTCCTTCCTTCTGGAGGGTGGCTACCTTTCTTCCCCGTGGTACCTGTGTATGTTGTAAAATAGCCACCACTCCAAGCTTACTCACATGATGGACTACAATCTCTCTTTTAGTTTACTAATTTGTATTGCGATTGTAGTCCATCAGGGGAGGGAGCTTGGAGCGGTGACTACGTTACAACACACACACATGGACCATGTGGAACAAAAGTAGTCACCCTCCAGAGATGATTTGAGGATCTACAGTTGAATGATACATAAATAAGACATTTTTGTTAATAAAAAGGCAATTGAATGCATTTTTAACTCTTGCATTTAGTGTCACTTTAATAAGGTAGTGGGCAAAATGAAGAGCTGTGAGGACTTGAGGAAGTAAGTCAAATGTAGTAGGCTTACCAGGTGCTTTCTGAGATTCTTGGACTTTGAAACTCTTTGAGTTTCTTCAGAGTTGCATGTTGCTGCTTCCAAGTTGCATCCACATTGAGTAGGAGGAAGTAAAGCAGCTCAGATGCAACCAAAAGCCCATATGCATGGGCCCTTATTCTTGTGTTGTCTTCCTGCTGGGAAAAGTGTGGCCTTTGTAGTGCTGAAATCAATCAATAAAGCTGCCATATGGATGAATTTTAATACTAGCTGCCACCCCTGGTTTTAGACTTATCACACCATCTACAAGTGCTTTTAGCCGCTACAGGTAAAAGGTCAGAAGCTGTAGGAGTTTGTCCTTTATTTTGTGTATGGTTTTCCAAAAGCAACTGGGTACGTGTACTTCTATAGAGATAACATGCTGATTGTCCAGTGAATGCTGGAGACCACCTCTACAACTTGGTGTCACCAACTATTGCTTTTTTGCAAAACAAAATATGGCCAAAGCATAGCACAACTTAAAAAAATCTTTACAAAAAATGCTGCTTACTTTTTTAAATATTCTTTTCTGAAGGCTCCAGGACTGAAAAATCCTATTTGAATTAAAATATTACATGAGGGTTCTATGTAGTGTTTATGGAGGTGGCAGGGAAGTTGTGTTTGCCATAATTAACCGTCTGTACTATGCTGGTAGATTTCATCATCAGTTGTAACTAGATGTGCAGGACTGTCTTCTCTCTGTGTAAAGATCTCAAAACATAGGATAGATTTTGTATAGATCATACAAAACATACATTGCATAATAATGTGCAGTCTATCTAAATCTTGTCCCTTAGTCTGTCCAATATCTCCACAATTACATCTTTTCAAAGCCATAGACGCTGGCAATGGAGTCCTATGTATAATCCTGCTCCTAAGAAACAACTAGAAAGTTAAGTATTAAAAAAATGGTATGGTAAAGCGAGTTGTCGCCAGGGAAAGACATGGTGCTAAGGGCGTTCAGTTTCTTAACCTTCCCTGGGCCCGATCAAAGTATAATGAGAATGGTTTGTATTACAGCCAGATTGTTCTATTCATCCTCTAGTTGTCATCTTCCTTTGATAGTTGGATACGCAAACAGTTCTTACATCAGGTCCTTAAATACAGGATGCAACATGAGCAAAGATGTTTGTATTTTGGCATTGTACAGTAATTACTCATTAATAAAGCTTGACATGTGTTGATGGAAAATGTGTAGGGATTTAGTTGGTACCCTTGAGAAGGCCTTTGTATCATAAGACATGCATACATGGTGCTTGATCTTTTGTCTATCTTTAAGCTAAGCCCCACCTCCACCCAGAGTTCCCCAACTGTTCAGAGGAATTCTGGGCCAAGAGGAAAACACATTTTTGTGAATATGCTATCAGAGTGCATAAAAAACAGGGCAAAGGAACAAACGTATTAGTTCAGTAGTAATCAGACAAACATGGGAGTTTTATTCTATCATAAAAAGATACATTTTTTTTCTTAAAAAATACAACCAAAATAGAATTTACAATTTCCATTAAGAGGCAAGACATTTTAACAGCAGCTTTTGTTCCTTGACAATAAAACACATACAGAGATCCTTCAGCTTGTAAATGGAATGAATGACCACCACTTAAAACTGTAGAAGTATGGGGCTGCCGCTTCAGACTTGTTTTCATAGGTGCAGGTTACAGAGCTGTGATCTTGATGCTGGGTACACTACCTAGTGTGTCATTGGGGTTGATTTACTAACCTTATAAACACGCCACGAACAAGTATACACCTCTGTAGTGTGTTCCCTCCCAGCATGATCTATGGGTGGAATCTAAACACCTTTGTAGTGTGTACACACCCAGCAGGTGCGTTGTGCAAAGCCAATCATGAATTGCAAGGTGATGTTGTGTAAATTAGCTCTATGTTGTGTTGCTTGCGTTGATGAATGCAGGAATGTAAATGCATGAGCTAACCATTTTTGTCTAAACTGTGAAGCAGCATTATATATGCATCATGTGCATGATTTTTCCATATATGGCATTAGTGGAAATATGCTTTTAGAGACTTTTTGGTTGATAAATACGTTTTGCTGTGTGAAAATCACACGCACCTGGTGCGTGCGTGTGTTTAGGTTAGTAAATCACCCACATTGACTTGGAACAGGATTAGGTAGGATTGAGGTTCAAAACAGTGCAAACTGGAACACACGTGATTCCTCTACCATTCAAAAAAGAAGGATCCTGTACCATAAACAAAAAGTCAGCAAAGCCAACAGTCACATTTCTATACAGACAGGTTTATGTAATGTTGGTATATTTGGAAGGTTCAGGTTGTGAGGAAAGCTCATGTAACAAAAAGGGTTAAAGGACAGTAGAGGTAAAGTGGTTGTGTGCTGATCGGTTTAACATGCCTCATTGCTTCTCTCAGCACTGGAACACTTTACAGCTATCCTATGTGATTAGATGTTATTGACGTAGACAGATGAAACATACTAACCACTCCGACATACAAGGCAGCATTTCTGTACTGGATGATCTTCCAGGGAGGATATTGGATGAAAATGTGAATATATTACCATATCACAATACTACTAAACTCATTCAAAAAGGGTGAAATGTAAATATAACCAGCCTAAAGGCTTTTTTTTTTTTTTTTACATGCTGGGGCCACATTAATACAATGTACTGATAAGAGGGCAGGTGAACAAAGCTTGAGGGATTCAAATAAAATTTTGTTCCCCTCAAACACATACATTAACTGTTGTACTTTAAGAACATTTAGTGCCTATGTTAATCTACTTATATACACACTCATTTGTAAAATGCTAGCTAGTTTTTTTTGCAGACTACAGAAACTTTTACAGACATATGCATTTTCTTCAAAGACTGGGTCAGGAGTAATATATGGTCCCTAACTGAATTGACTTATTAAATCAATGTAATATCAAGCACACAGCATGAACTGTATAAATGAGACAACCAATGACTAGCTAGAGCTCTACCGCCTTCACCAGCATGGAAGAAAACATTCCACACCAGGAAACGGGAAAAAAAAATGTCTTCTTTGATGACAAACAAAACAAAAATAAATAAATCTATGCAGGCTTCATGTAATCTAAGGCCCCTTTCACATGGCTGGTCTGATCAGGTCCACCTGTCAGTTTTTCAGGCAGACCTGAGCGGATGTCCAATGCAAGTCTATGGGCAGCCATGTGTAAATGGACAAGCATTTACACACGCCTCTGGCCAGGTCCAGAGAGACAGACGGATCAGAGATCCGTTTTGCCGGAGCGGATCGTGCGTAATCTGATGTAAACAGACACGAGTCCATTTACATCAGATTCCCCATAGACGGACATGGGATCTGGCAGCTTCGATTTGTTTTCCTCTATTGCAAGGTGGAGGAAAAAAAACTGTACAGGCACGAAGTCACAGCAGTGCAGTGACATTCACTCCGTACTGCTGTGATCAGGAAAGGATCTGTGCATGAATCCTCTCCTAATAAGCCCATGTGAAAGGGGCCTAAGATGGAAGCTGTTGCTGGTGCTGTAATGATCTGGAGTGTGGTTTGTAGCATATAATAGACCCTTTAGTAGAAGTAGACCAACATTTCAGTGCCACATCTACCCCGGCTGAGCTACATTTAAATGGGATGCAGATCCCTGTCACACCAGTAGGTCAGAGAAAGGCACACTTTCAGAAAACAAAATTAGACGCACATCGATAGTAAATTAGGCTGGCTCTCATTTAGCAAAGCGTATTTGTAGCCCATGTGCCTGCAATCGTGGGCAGCAAAACACGCAGTTTAACAAAGGTCTAGGGTAGAATTACCACTGTATATAAGACAGATTTTTAACACACACAATTCATTTTAGTCAGGGTCAGGATTTACATTAGTGCCGTGCTACTTTAAAGCAACAGAGGGAGGAATTTATAAATGAAACTCCAATATTATAGCAAATCTTTCTCTCAATGGTCCCATTTGGCACTGCTTTGCTGTGCAACAGAATTGGAAGTGGCTTGCTCTCCCCAGTCGTTACAGCTTTCCATTTCTATATACGGAGACCCTTCACATATTTAAAAAAAATAAAATCAAAAAAAAAAGTGTCAGAAAGCTTCTCTAACATTGCCCTCAAAGGAACACTTTACCGAGGCTGCAATTGCTGATCTTGTTTTGAAGTACTAGTTGCTTGGTGTTATTTGGCTGCAATTTGTCTTGCTTGGTGTTATTTGGCTTGTGGTGAATAACTCAAGTACTAGATAAATTGGATTAGAATGACAGCCAGAGAAGTAGCATTTTCAGACGAAATAGTAACAGCAGCCTGCAGCTTACATATATTGCATTAGCTTTTACAATGACTAGTTCAGAAAACTCTAACATTTGTAGGGTGAAATGAAATAAATTATTAGAGTTAATTTGTCAGCCCAACTTCAGGGCTAAACCTCAACAACTGCCTTTCCCTATCAGATAAGAGTGCCTCAGTGGCCCTTTAGGACACCCTTGATGGACAGAGGATTGCCATTAGGCAGGGATGAGAGTCACCAGGTCTCTGGAAATAAAGTAAAATTGGTTTCAGACAGCCACATGAAAGAGAGTTTTCAGGCTAACAAAGTATATAGCAGGCATCTTGGGGAGTCTGCTCCCAGGCCCCATTCACACTAAGCGACATACCTTTTGGAGCGGATCCGCGCAGCTGGGATAGCACGACTTTCGGGGCGACAAGCCAGCGACGGTAGCGCGACCTTCACCGTCGGGCTGCATTAAAAAAAATGAAAAATCGCGCGACATCCGCTGAAAAAAGGGTCCTGCAGGAGCGACTTGCGACCGTGACATGGAGCTGTCCAGCGACTTCTCGCGATATTACGCTGCAAAAATGCGTGAAATCGAGCGGCCACCCCCTTAGTGTGAATGGGGCCCTAGGATGATGCCAAACAATTGCTCTATTGCGGTCCCAGAAGGGTGCTAAACCTCCCTCGTTAGCAAGGAAGTGACATCTCGCTGGTCCAGCTGGCGAGGGATTGATTACTAAAACAGGTACTTGATCCAGTCACTGGCGAGTTTATGCTAGTGACAGGATTGCTTGTATGACATGCCCCTTAGGCAGAACTTTTACTTTTAAAGTATAAACAGGTTTACTTAGACATCTTCGAAGGCCATTTCATTACTGCCGTGTAAAGCAGTGGAGTCCTTATGGGCTAGTTTCCTGTAAAGCCCACACATCTGCAGCATAATAAAGGTATACTTACTGTACAGAATACTTTGATCTTGGTTAAAGGGTTGCTTGAAGGATCGTACAGGATATGAGAATCATTTCACTATCAAAGCTGCATAATATGAATTAAAAAAAAACCCACAAACAATGCAAACAGTAAATATATCTAAAAGCATAAAGTGCTAGCAGCTAGGAAATGCACATAATATACACTTGTTTTATGACAATAATAGTTTTCTATCTTCATTCTCTGCTTGGCATTAAATAATTATTTTTTTTAGACCCTTAGTGGGTTGTCCATACTTAAAAGATTTCTTTTTTGTTATGTTTTGGAAAAAAAAAAAGAAGTATTCCAGATTTAGAATGACTCCTTAGTAAAATGATTACTATTATTATATTACACATTTTAAACCTTTACTTTCATAAGTAACAGCACAACATGGTTGAAAAAAAAAAGCATTTTTATTCCATGCAGGAATGAGGAGATATCCTCTGAAATCTAGGTCATTGCTTATAAGTTAGTGCTGTGATTCTTGGAGAATACATACAATAGTTCTAATAACTTTAAAAAGGTGTCTGGCTTAGAATAACCAAAGTCATAATGTAACTATAAAATTGATTTGTCTGCCCTTTGCTCTAACTTGGTAAGAACGTAGGCAAGGCACACAACATCTGACTGAGGAAAAAAACATGAATGTTTATCTAGATCAATTGCAATATGCCAGGAGATAATACTATTCTGAAGTGACTGAATAAAAGCACTGTTTTAAATATATCTGAATGCACAGCCCTAGGCCATCCATGATAATACAGACAAGTCTTTATATAATTATGAATATATACACCATGCCGAAAGGCACTGTTAATAAACATGTACATTGAAGTGTTAGACTAGCTCAGTTTCCTTGTCTTGTCCATTCCCAGTGTTCTGAGTTGGGAATTAAAGTGAAAATGTTCAATTTGTTTCCACCTCTGCTATGCAGAGAGACCAATAATTTGGTTGTTGTAGTCAGTGGTTTCCATACGTAAAATATATGGAATTATACTATCAATCTGAACATTCCCAATAAGTCCAGCGAAGAATAGTTCTTCCATAACTGCAGCACTCATCAGTCTTAGAGCTGGCAACCTGAGCAGCAGCCGGGAAAGCCTAAAATTAGAAAAAAGAGAGAATTTCCTCTACAAAATGTATATTCCAACATGTAAAGCATCCATAAATAGGGTGGCACTGCTACCAGGGGATGAAGACTTTGCTCTCCCCAGCATAGTATGTTTAAGTGTTCACAAAAGAAAACATTACTCTCAGTCATGAATGTGAGAGTCAATACTCACTGGCATTTCACTCATTTGAGGACAAGGAATAATACAGCCACCTTGTCTATCTACAACTACTCTATGATAATCTCATTTACATGCTGTGCCAGGAAATATTGAATGAATGTAAGCTCAACTGGGAAAAAGTACAGTGTACAAGTCTTTTCAGTTCTTACCAAAGTATCACTGAGGGCACATACATACCGAACCCAGAATTTAGGCATCAGTGCATGCCCAATAAGCTGCAGCCAGGGCATTCCCAACCCAGCTAGGATGTTTTCCCATCAAAGACTGTGAGCTGCTGGGCAGGGCTGCACAGTGGAGGACTTGGGATAAAGGTATGCATTTTAGTGTGTGGACTACAGAGGGGGTTGGGGGTCATATTTAAAGGACAACTTCACTAACAGTTAATTCAGTATTGGGTGGATACAAGCATGCGGATTCTCAAGAACTCCACCCTTGAGATTATGAACTTATGTTCAGCAGTTAAAGCTGAGCCCCAGCCTTTCCTTCAGTCTTGCACAGTTGTGTTGGCTCTCCTGTACTGAAACTGCTTCCTCTGGTTTAGCTAGACAATGGGAGCTTCTCAAATTGTGTCAGATAGAGCCGGTTTCATTTTCTGGCTGGAGCATTATTTACGCCTTCCCTCCCCAGCCCTAGCTCAGCATGCAAATACAGCCTACCTAGGAATGCCCATTTCTCCAGACTGACATCCACACATCAAGCGCTTTTGTTATTGCATAACTTTTCAAAAGAGCCAGTCCACTGTTTGTATCAGGGCTGTTAGGGGGAAATTGAGGTAGCAGGGAATGCAAAATATAAGCAGATTAAACTTCAGCTTTAAAAGTCTTGCTGCCTGACTTATATATTTGTGTGATTTTCTTCTTACAAGCCAAAACACAACGGCTTCCACCCATAAGCATGAATGTGGTTGGGGCATGAAAATGTAGGATCTTTTGGGATGTAGTTTACAGAAAAAAGCAGGGTTATAAAAATTTGTAAAATAAATTTAATCAACTAATGCCCATCTAAATCCTACCAATCATCATAGGGGGCGGTTAAACCATTTGTTTTAATATTGCATTTAGTCTAAGGTTTAGTTGCAGTATTTAAATATTAGGGCTGGTAATGATTAAAATTTTCCTGTTCGATTAATCGAAAAAATTTTTAATAGATTAATCGACTAATATACACATATATATTTATTTTTTAATTCGTTTAATAACTGACACAGTCAACAGATTAGATTTACAGTAATGAGCATTGGTGCATATGTTACAGACAACATGTGATCGCGGTAATGTCATGCTCTATACAATAAAAATTCCACTGTCAATGGCAAACAGATCACTGATCATTTGTATAACAACAAACAAAACATTTCAGATGTAACGTCAAACAGCATCTGGTGTGTGTATAGTATGGAGAAAATCTACAATCTAGCCGGATGTGGTTTGTGTCAGTTGTGAAAATATAAACTCTGGGAGAGCATCACGAGACCCTAGGTACCTCAGTATTTATATTTTAAAAGAAATAAGCGTCACCTGTATGTATCTTCCGGGTACATCCTAGTTACATAGTCTTGGAATTCAGTGTAGGCCTTTTCCTGAAGCTTTTCAATTTGAGACACATTTTCCAATCCGGGATGATCTGTATAGTAAAACATAAGTTACATACAGACATACATATCTTACCTACAATACAATTGTGGGTATTTGTCATACAGCCTCTACATGTGTTCATGTGCAAGTGTGAAACTTCCATGTATTTATCTTCCACAGAGATCACTTGTTTACTGCAGTCATACATGTTTAAAGCCCAACTCCAGCTACTCCTGCTGCAATACTCGCCCCCCTCAGGCTCACCACTGTGCAATCCAGTGCATGTTTTCAGGTATAATCATGCCCAGCATTATTCTACCCACTTCCTGCATCTGGTCACCCTGGACTCAAAAGGAGAAATCTGCAACATTCAAAACCCACCCACCTCCAGAGATAGTGGACCCATGCCGTCACGTGATCAGACTAAAGACCACTGGAAAATAAAGGGATATATACATATTTTCCTTTAAAACACACATACAAAAGGATACTTTAAAAAATAACTAAAGAAAAATATATACTTACCAGGACTGAAGAGGACAATTGCTTTCAAGTAGGCATATTCATAACCATCTATATTTAGCTTAACCATGCTATTGCAGAACTCCTGAAGTTTGAATATGTGGTCCATCACCAGCTTTAATTTTTCTCCAGACAGCTTATCTACCACAGGATAGAGTGAGGCAGTGTTAATCCAATCATTTAATACCAAGCCATATGCAAAAATAACATTGGGAGTGAGAGGTAATGATCATAAAAAAAGGAATTTCTACATAGAAAATAACTGGGTCCAAAACTGTATGTATACAACAGCAATGCTCAAAATAAGGGTGCACGTAAGGAACTGTGTTTTGTACTAATGTTATAGCTTAAAATGTCCCTAAAGGACATATGCACATTGGCATTTACATTTTAAATTCATTAATAGTCCATTTTTACTTGCCCTTCTTTCTAGGTCACACATAACGCTGACCACATCAAATGTGAGGATTTCCTCTGCAAAGGAATTTTTTTACAGTCATTTTACTTTCACAATGATAATACTCTAAAATGATTGTCTGTTCCCTGGGATTCCACTATTTCCTGTATTTAACAGATTACCCAGATCATACAAAGATGCCTTCTGATTAATTATGTCACTTTGCCTGCGAATGTTTAGTGGTTCTTATATGCAGCACTGAGGCTGCAGGTGAAGGACAGTCACTCAAGAAAACGCCCACCACTAAACATGTAAAAGAGGGTAGTTTCAGGGAATTTATAAAGTGAAAAATAAAATGATTCCTGAAAATGTCACATATATTGGCAGACAGATGTAGCAACAATTGTTGAAGTTTATAATGATATCTTAGGGATCTTACCATGCTGTAAGCTGCCGTGCAGATGATTAACAAATGCTGTTAGTATAGTTGCCACATTCATTACTTGGGAGCACTGAGCAAGACCAAGTGAAAACAGTTCGCTCCAGCAAGCTTTCACTAAAGAAGTACTAACCTCCTGCCTGATGAGACACAAACATCACACTTATATTAGCACTGACCAACTTACAAACCCCAGGAGGCACAGAAAATACTAGCTTTATTTGCAATAAGCAGTCAACAACGCCACTTTACTATACCTGTTATTACTTATCCTCTAACTTTATTTTTTATACAGTATGCAGTATCATTTATCACTGCTTTTAGAAGGAACTGTTCTGTGTTGTTCCACCACCACAATCAGATTTCAACCTGCACTTGAAAAAGGCAGCAAATTAAAAAAAAAACTAAAAAAGCCACACAACTCTTGATGGTTGCTGCTGGGCAACATAGAACAGTTTCTACTTAAAAAAAGGTAAATTATAATAGTTGTGGGTTGATCATATTTTTTAAAAGTTATATGTTTTTAAAGTAATGTTTTATATTTAGTTAACTGTTTGTATACAATCTTTATTTTAGGCTTTTTGCAATATAGTTTGTATTGAATCTTTATTTTACATATAAATATTTTCTACCAGTTAAACATTTCCAGAAACCTAAATAAAACAGCACAACAGTAGCTGCCTGCCTCGAGGCATGGTTTGTATGAGGAAAACCTCAGATACAACTGTCCTATAAACAATCAGCAACTCCTCTACCTCATTTACCTCTGTGAACTATTGAGCTCCGTAACAGAGATATAGATATATTTATTTTCATTCAAAATATCAATATTCAACATTGTGAATTTAGCTTATTTTTTTCTGACCATAATAATTAAAAAAATATGCACTTCTTTTAAAAAATATTTCCAAAATTAAAAAAAGTCACGGATAAAGGTTTCCTGCCAAAAGACTCAGTGTGCCTCTTTGAAATTAGTTCCAGTTTGTTACAGGGGCCTGACTTCCTAGCCATGTTCCCCAATTGTATTACTTTGTCTACTAAGAGTGCCCCACATGCTAGGAAAAAAACATACAAAGCCTAAGCTCCAAAACACAATTAATGCAGTAAATGCAATAAAGTATTTCAGTTTATCCTGATATTCTCCTGTAAATCTCCTAAACAGCAGATATGGAGAGGAAAAGCCAACACCGCTCTGCTGCACTGCACATGTGCTCACATGGAATACTGTGCCAGAGAGCACAGGGATGAGTTGACCAGTGTGCCGCTACTCCTCCAACATCTATTTAACTGGCTTAAGTGTTGTTAAGCTTGACCTAATACTGCTGCATTGGAAGTCAAGGATCTGACTGTGCTGTCTGATATGGGTGCCTGGATCACAAAACTACAAATCTTTTGGCAAATGAAACAGTTCCCATATATGCATTTCAATGGTGCAATTCGCTTCTATGGAGTTTTTTTGTTTACAATTTCATAGTTTACCTACAATTTCATACTTTACTTCCTCTCAGAAAGCTCATGTTGTGTCTGTGCTTTTTAAAATTTACTCAAATAGCTAAGCAGCCCAGCACAACAGCATGTGTATCGCTCTGCATCATTACAGGCAAGGCCAACATATAGGCAAAAAAAACAAAACAAAAAACACAATAGTGTGATTTGTACATGTGTATTCTAGACCGATAAATAGAGCTACATGAATAGAACAATACATATAACCACATTGTATTTTATCTAAACACTTCCAAAATACGTATTATCAAAATGTCAGTTTTACCATTTATTGTTTGATAAATGTACCATACTAACCCAAGAGCCTGGAAGGCAGGAATAGAGCGAGCCCAATGCATGGACAAAAATAGTAGTCGTGATGCAGATTCACAAATATAGTGTACATTCAGGTATTCAGGCATTGGTGAAGGCATTGTGAGCTAGAAAATAAGAAAACTAAATCATGTATTTAAAAATCATATTTTAAGAAATGCATTTAAAAAACATTTCAATGAAGTTAACTTTTTTTTAAATTATAGATACTAAAACAATGTGCATCTCCTTGCAGTGCCCATCACTTTTTTTTAGTTTTCAAAACAATTCAAATATTTAATGCTGTATAGAAAATTGACAGGGCTATTCACAAAAGGTTTAAAGGAGAACTATGGGGTCAGTGTTTTTCCCCATAGTTCTCCTTGGGGTAACGGGAGGACACAAACTAGCGTCCTCCCGTCACCCTAAGCTCAGTATACCGCGAGCTACAGCACGTGGTATACTGAGACGCCGCACCTGGAGCGGATCCCGACTTAGATGGCGGGATCCGCCCAGCTGCGTGAGTGACAGCTGGCTCTGCCTATCTAGAGGCAGAGCCAGCTGTACCCGCCCCCTCCCCCGTCCGTTCCGCCAGTCAGCGCTGGCAGATCGGAGCGGGGAGAGGGGAATCCAGCCCCTCCCCTGTCACGTGTGCAATCAGAAGACATTGGAGGGAAAAACTGGAGCAGACAGAATCTGGAGCAGTTGCCCACTGTAACTAATCAGCTTTTACTGTTTAATTGCCAAAGCTTCAAGTGACATTAAAGTCAATTTTCCAATCTTCGGAGGGGAGCGAGCGGCGAAGACACAGGTAAGTAATAAACTTTTTGGTGACTTATATGCAAAAATATTTAAAAAAAAAAAAAAAAAACATTTATCTACTGCTTGCTAGCAGTAGATAAATGCAAAAAAAAGGTTTTGTACTTTAAGGCCCCTTTCACAGGGGTTATGAGGAGAGGATCCATCAACAGATCCTCTCCCGATCATAGTAGTATGGAGCAGATGTCACCGATGTCTAGATCTCAGGCAGTACACAGGGCCCTGACATACTGTATGTTCAAGCCAGCATTAAGACCTTTCCCCATTAGAACACGAAGATCCACCCTAAAGGTGCCCATACACCTTACAATTATCTGCAGATTTTCTGTGGTCAGATGGAAAAAGTGCAACAGATTGGCCCAGGTGGAGATTACTCCATCCACACAGTTAAGTGTAGATGGAGGAATCTGTTGCACCTTTTCCATCTGACCACAGAAAATCTGCAGATAATTGTAAGGTGTATGGCCAGCTTAACATTTATCCAATAACAGATCCTCTACTGATAGAGCTTAGCATCAGCATGGAGTAGAGTTGTGTACCAATACAGACAAAAGCTGGGCCCAGTGTACAGCCAGGGCCTTTAGGCACATTTATTGTTTCCTAAAGTTACCCTACCTTTCAACAGTTTTATTTCACCTAGTAATCTCTATTTCCACCTTCTAAAAGGTGTTTTTGCTGACATGCTCGTGTAGTTTTCGCTCAAAGATATCATAAATATAAACTCCCAGTCATTTCTGTTTTAAAGTAAAAACATATACAACGAAACAATGCAAAATTGTAACAGTAATATAAACAAGGGTAATGATTACCTTGAAGGCTATGTGGGAATCTGTGAGAAGTGGTCCTTCAATCTCAACAGCGACATCACCAAAGATGTTAGAAGTGGCATCAATACTTTCTGATGAGCTCTGGACAGAACTTTCAGAGGGGTTGAGAGCTTTTGCCAGAGTGTCAAAGGCTCTAGATCAGAAAGCAAGGCAAGGTTATTAAAATTATTTTAAAGTGACACTAAACTCAGGAGTTAAATCTTACAAATCCATTCAAGTACCCTAACTACTAACAACAATGTATCTTATTTGTATATCACTCAGCTGTAGAGCCTCAAATCATCTCTGAATTGGTGCTGACACTGTCCTTCCTTCTGGAGGGGAGCTACTTTTGTTCCCCATGGAACAGTGTGTGTTGTAAATTAACCACCTCTCCAAGCTTACTCACATGATGCACTACAATCTCACGTTTAGTTTACTAATTGGTATTGAGATTGTAGTCCATCACAGGAGTGAGCTTGGAGAGGTGGCTACTTTACAACACACACAAGGACTATGGGGAACAAAAGTAGCCACCCTCCAGAAGGAAAGACAGTGTCAGCATGAATTCAGACATACAAAAACAAATGGTACGAGCCTTCTATTATATGGAAATTGGGGGCTTTTAAACCAACATACCAGACTGAGCAATAGAAGTGACAAATTTGTTGCACTATAAATTTTCATTACACATTCATTTAAAAAGACAATAAAACATCTGATAAAACCAGTGATTGTTTATGCTGGTCTTGACAACCAATTTTTAGGATTTTTCACCATCAACACGGTATCTCATTGCAAAGCTGCCACATTAATGATGTACATTTTCATTCCATGCAAAAACATTGTTTAAAGGTTTGACCCGTTTCGCCCAATGGGCTTCCTTGGGAGGACAAATCCATCTAACCTATCCCATTTGCTTCTTTGTATTAACTTGAGGGGTGCAGCCAACCAGACCTCCCTCCACTGATCACTATGTTTTAACAATATATAAATTCAGAGATGATTTGAGGATCTACAGCTGAGTGATACCAAAATAAGATACATTTTTGTTAATACTTAAAGGGTTATTAAACCCTCGCATTTTCTGCATATATCTACTGATAACAAACAGTAGATATATGCAAAACGATAAAAAAAAAAATATTTTTCAAAAAGTTAATACCCGTGTCTCCGCCACGCGCTCCCATCCGAACATCTGAAAATGTCTCGAGCGGCCGCAAAGGATCTTGGGGCGGGAGCATGCGCAGTTCAGATGTTCGGCCAGGAGACTAGGAGAGACACAAGGTAAGTCTATGGAGCAGCGTGCACCCGCACAGACTCCGTGGGACATGAGAGAAGAGGAGGACAGAGGAGCCAGCGCTGGATCGGAGACATGCACCAGCGCTGGAGGGACAGATGAAAACTCCTGGAAAGAAGAAGATGATCGGATTAAGGAGGCATCATTTAAGGTAAGTCTTTATATTAGCATTGTGTGGCGGGTGGGGGACTTTTGACTTTAATGTCACTTTTAGGTGCTTGAATGTATTTGTAAGATTTAACTCCTAAATTTTGGTGTCACTTTAATAAAAAAAAGTCAAACATTTCCTAAACTTGCCGCAAACTGGTTAGGCACTAAATTACTAAAGGAGAAATCATATACTTGCTGCACTTATTTTTATCCAGCTAAACTTTTCTAATGCCATTATCATAGACAAGGGAAGTACCTGGTGACCTCACTGCTTGACTGGTCATCCTGTGGAAGCTCTGAGAGTGAAGCATCTCCGTTACTTAAACTTTCCATGATCGACAATTCCGTGCTCGACTGGGAAAAGTCTTTTGATTTATTAAGATTTGCAAGTGATGTGACAACATTGGCCAAAGTGCTTAGATCTCCCTGACATGCTTCTCCCTGGTAATAAAATAACAAAGCATGAGACTAATTAATTAATGGGCACATTTATTATATGGTAAACTTGTAAATCCACAAATTAAAGGAAAGCTCTGAAAGCAATAATGATGTAGTGTTCAGGATAACAATGTGAAGCCTTTTGCTATTTAATCTCCTTATTTCATGTGCACCTATTAGTGCTTTTCTACAATTTTTTAATAACTCCCCCCCCCATCTGATTCTTGCATATTGGCAACACGCAGTCTCAGTCAGAAATCCATCTCACCCATGGTGCTAAACTGTATGCTTGCTCCTCTCCACCTTCACTCTCCCAGCTGTACAAAGCAAGACAGTCAGATTACAAACTGATCCAGAAACTATTTGAAGTGGAATGTTAAAAACCACAAATACACAGTTTAAATATATACTGAATTTTTATATATTTTTACCTACCAAAGAATTTGTCATTTTGGCCAGCCATTCTTGTGGTACACACCTCTGTTAGTTATGAAGATTATTAAATATAACTTAGATGACCTACCAAAGACGTCTCCTGGGTCTGGAGCCTCTGGGAAAATTCATATAGATTCCCAAGTCAAGTGGATAATTACTTACCTAACCTACCTATTGGTTTTATTCATCGGAGTGTTACATTTATCTGGGGGCGATTGCCTGGGGATTGAGGGATGGATCTCCAAAAAAGTGTTACATGCATTATGTGATGTCCACTTACTGTGTTTGGATACAATGCTCGTATGTGATTATTCAAAGTATATCTGACATTAAAAAGGAGAACTATGGGGTTAAGTCTTTTCCCCATAGTTCTCCTTAGGGTAACAGGAGGACACAAACTAGCGTCCTCCCGTCACCCTAAGCTCAGTATACCGCGAGCTACAGCTTGAGGTATACTGAGACGGCGCAGCTGAAACGGATCCTGACAATTATGTCTGGATCTGCCCAGCTGCGTGAGTGACAGCTGGCTCCTATCTAGAGGCAGAGCCAGCTGTACTCGCCCCCTCCCCCGTCCGTTCCGCCAGTCAGTGCTGGAGGATCGGAGCGGGGAGGGGGGAAATCCAGTCCCTCCCCTGTCACAGCTCTCTGCCGTGACAGGATCGAGAAGTGAGCAAACGCCGGTATGTGTTCGCTCACTTCCCGATCTACTGAGCCGACCTGTGACAGTCTCATTGTCACAGGTCGGCTAGAACTATGAGGATGAGTGAAAAGCACTCACCTCATAGTTCTCCTTTAAGCAGCTTTGAGGCGTTTAATAATATTTACCGTGGTATTTTAACCATTTTTGTAAAAAGTGACCCCAATCTTTATGGGGAAACAGCTTGATTTAAGCTTTGTGGTATGTAGATTTGGAGATTTGTATACAAGGTTTAAGGCCTGCTGTAGTCTAAGACAGTTATGAAGATTACTCCTAATCCCTGCATCAGCTTAACCATTTCTTGGGTGAAATCCTTGCCTATTGGACAGAGTGTGTACTTAGTTGCTTGTCTAGTGTTCTACTTTAATTCCTTTTCCTTTTAATCTTTGTCTGCTATGCACCTTGCATTTTACCTTATTCACAAAGCTAAGTGAATATGCACTTTGATAAGTAAACAATATCTACTCCTTTAGTAAATCAACCCCTTTAAGTTTCCAAATTCCCTGTCCATCACCATGCTGTTTGTGATATTTTGGAGAAAATAAGCTTACCTTATCATGTGCAATAAGTACAGGCTCGGTTTTAATTGCAGAAGGCTGTAAATTAACTACTACTCCGGGGTCTAACAAACTGCTGGACCTGCAAACAAAATATAAAAAGCATAAAATATTTTATTTGGATATACATGACTGACATTATTATTTCTTTTATTCTATTCTTCTATTTACAAATCATGATTCACACAAGTATCTTATGGAAAAAACACTTCTATACTCTGATTTCATTTTGATTTGTTACTGGGTGCCAGGTGTTTTGGCAAAAGACAAATGCCATTCCCCTGTACAGCGACAGTTCCTTTAATGGCCACTCCCGTTTGAAACTTGGATGGCAGTTTGGCAAGGTTTAGCCCAGGCCTCTAGTGACAAAGTAAAACTAAACCAGAGAGGTGCACACTGAAGGGTTTTCTGACTAATAAAAGTAATAGCAAGCATGCTGTAATGGCCTAGTGTAATGAAGGACTTTTAGTTGAAAATGCCTGACAGGTTTGCTTTACAGAAAAGATCTCAATGTAAAGCATAGAATTTGCTGGATATATGAAATACATCTTACAAATTAACCCCTTAAGGACCAATGACGGAATTATTCCGCCATGGTTGTCCGTGCCATAAGGACCCATGACGGAATAATTCCATCATGGGTCTTACAGGGTTTAAGCTTCCCTCATGTGCTAAATGAGAACTTATATATGCATATGTCACATCGCAATAAAGCCCTTTTTGTCCTTTACAAAACGGTATATAATGTGTTGGTGTAAGAAATTAGAAAGATGGAAATTGCGGTTGAACACACGCAGAAAAAATTGCGTTGGTCCTTAACTGAAATACAAGCACCTGAAGCTTGGTCCTTAAGGGGTTAATGCATGCTAGTCAAAAACACACCTTGCAGTTTTATTTTCTGTTACAAAAGTAGCCGTTGCAGCAAGTGGGCTGCGTAAGTCTTTTCTAATGTAGATCTTTTCTGTGGATGCAGCACAATTGGAGGACTTTTCCCTGGAGACCTCAATGGGCTTTCTCTCACACTGAACAGCTGGAAAACATAATCAGAAGTGGTTCATTTCAAAGTAAAACAGCTTGAAAACACATCAATGAATTCTCAGTTCGTTAATCTGAATGGCATAATAATACATTATGGTGCATTTTTAAAGCAATCCATTCAAAATTATTTGAATGAAAAGAAAGGCAAGACAGCAAACCAAAAATGCTGCATGCAGGTCTTTTTCCCAGTACACTTCAACACAACAAGTAGGTTATAATGTGCTCAACCAAAATCAGTATGGACTTCTCATGCTTGCTGAAGCTCCGGAAAATGCAGCATCCTTCATGACAACACAGCCAACTAGAAAAACCTTAAAGACAAATACTTGCACATACTGTAATACTTCATCATCTGATGTTAACTAGGTAATAGGTATAGATTAAAATTAGACCAGTATAGGGAAATTATTATTATATAGGATTTATACAACGCCAACAGTTTGCACAGCACTTTATAATATAAACGCAGGCAACACAGTTACAATACAGTGCAAGATGAGATCAGCCGTGAGAGCTTACAATCTAAAAGGGAAGGGCAAGCAATACAAAACTGGTACTTACAATCCTGCTTCATTCCAAGTGCAATACATCTTTGTAATCGGCAGTACTGACATCTGTTTCGGTAGTGTTTATTGATAACACAATCTTTTGATCCTCTACATGCATAAACCAAATTTTTTCTAATACTTCTTTTAAAGAAACCTTTGCAGCCCTCACATGTTACTGCCCCATAATGTCGCCCTGAAAAAACACAACATGAAGACAAGAGATACGTTTGTTTGCAGTCAGAAATTGCTAGGGAGCAAATCTTTACTATCGTTACTGCAATCCATTCCTAGAAAGCATAAGAAAGGTCTTTCTAGCTATTATTAATGTACTGTGGCACATTTTATATTTAAATAAAATAATCAGTTAAGGGGAATCTGTTACTTTGCCCGTCAGAACAAAGTGACAGGTTTTCTTGAAAGCTCACCCTGCCACCTACTACTGCTCACCTTCACTCCACTTGTTCATCTGTGTGAGCCATAATATTATACCCTGTATAAGTTCCATATCGGCACTCAGACAGATTTAATAAGCTGCTCTCCTCACCCACGTGACAGTGTTTTGCTATTTGAACCAATCCCTAGTCTCATTTCGAATCAGTGTACTGCTTGCTCACAGTGAAGAATGAGCTGCACCACACACATAAACCTAACCTCCCTGTGGGCTAAATTCAGAGTTAAATGCTGCATAAAGTTTTGAGGTAAAATAACTGATGCCTTAAGTATACAATTCACTAAAATCTATGAGTTATTTGCCAAATGAGATACCCCTAAAACGTGCAGAATTTATCTCATCATTTAGGTTTTATTTTTTTCACTTTTTTTTGTGGTCATTTCTAGTAAAAAAAAAAAAAAGGGGGCACATGGGTGCAGTCACTTACACCAATAACATTTAAGCAGGGTGCCAAACCCCCTTCCTGGCCAGGCCATTTTTCAGTATTGAGTGCTGCAGTACTTTGACTGACATTTATTCAGTCATGCAACGCTATACTGAAATTAATTTTATATCATTGTTTGGGGACAGATAGAGATTTCTTTTGGTGGTATGTAATCACCACCGGGTTTTTTTTTTTTTTACTATATAAAGAAATAAGTACTAAAAACCACTATGTTATGAAACATTTATTACCCAAATTTTTCGTAAAACAAAAAAGATGGGGTCACATCGGATTAATAGATACCAAACATGTCAAGCCTTAAAATTGCGCACACACGTAAAAAAAACAAAAAACCTCTAGCATACAGACAATTGGCCATAGTCGACGCTTTGAAAAGCTTTTACTTTTTCATGATTTTAGTGTTAACAGTGACTGATGGCCCTAGAATTATCGCTCGCACTCAGACGTTTGCGGTAATATGCAACATGTGTGGTGTAATCAAGGTTTTTACATGTAGGTGCATCCGACACCGCTTTATGTTTGTATATTTTTTTTAAATGTATTTAACCAGCAGAGGCGTTGGAGGGGGTCCGCATTCTTCCAAGCAACATACAAGCGATTGCATGGCTCTATCGAGTTTTCCCGCTCGCGTAGGAGAAGGAAATGCCATATCGATATGGCCACCCACAACCAAGAAGCAGCCTTCCGGCCGTTTAATTACATTTGCAGAGGTCAAGTGACCATGCGATGTTTAGTGAATTGAGTCCTGTGTCTCAGATGTAGGCTACAGATGGTCTGAAAGAACCAAGATACATAGTATCTCAGTATGTAATCACAGGACAGACACTGTACAGGTCAATGTGTTCTATATTGGCTTGCTCCAGAATAAAAAGGTAAACTTAACAATTATTATTGTACTTTAACTATTTCAAGGCCCTTAACAATGACAAAACAGAAGTTATCAGTTAAACTCAATAAAATTAGTCTTCACTATATGTGGTCTGAGAACACATACCTGAAGCTTTATCGCCACACACCACACAAAGATCCATAATAGGCTTATTTAAATTCTGATCTATGCATGGGGAATCTGATAATATCTGAAATAAAACAGAATGAGCAGAATTGCTTAGGCAAATATCTAAGATATTGAAACCACAAAATGTTCTCAAAAAATCTTCCATATTAATTAAACATTAAGAAAAACAAATTAGTAAGTTTTCTGAAAAATTCAACATATTCATGTACAGTACTACAGTATTTCTAAACTGAAAGTGTACTTATGCCTATAGTAGGGTACTCCTCTCACACAGTTGGACTGCCCACAGAAATCACAGGGCCCCTTACCCACTGCTGTGTATAACAAGTAACACCCTGTAGCTATTTTGTTCATATATTTATCTGTTCTAGAATTACAAGCTAATTGAATTCAACTATTTGTATTCCTTTATTTACATACATCTTCATCTCATTTTAAATATCAAATTGCAATCCAGATACAAGATCATTGACAATTAAGAGTTAAACTTTGTTACCATAAAGCAACTGTCAACTTACAAAAAAATATGGAAAGCTTTGCTTCTGCAAGAGAAGTAATACTGAACAATCACCTTTTTTTTTAAATATATGCATTCTAATTAGATAATTAAACATTGCCAAGTGCTTTTTTTTTTTAAGGTCTGCAGAAAAAAACCGTCATTTACAGCCCCGGCTCCAGGTCCCACAGAATAGATTTCCCCGACTTTCAGGTACAGAAGTGCTTGCCCTCTACCCTTTACATCCACAGTGCACTGCTCACAGCACAGGCTGAAGCTGCTGTGATTCACTCAGTTGGAGGATGGAGGAGAGGGAAAAGGGCAAGGGTTTGGGACTGTGTTTCAATGCACGCCGTGTATCAGCAGCCGGGAGCACGCATGCAAAAGTGGCACCATGGCACCCTGTAGAGTGATGGAGCCACCCGATAACAGGACCCAGGAAAGGGGGCATTTGGAGGTGAAGATTACAGAGCAAAAGTAATACTTCAGAAGGAAAAAACTTACACACACAAAATGGTAAGGGCTGATGTCTGCATGTTTTTTTTTTTTTTTAAAGGGTTTAATATGGACACATACTGCAAACTCCACTGTCTTCAAGCAGTACAGGCTCTGTAAATCTTCAGCAAATGACACTCCTGGAAATACTAAATGCCTGCGTCTCCAGCTTTTTGTCATCATTCCTCCTTTCGTTTCCTACATCACGTCTGAGTCCTGTGACAAAAGTAGGAGTCGGCGATAGGTACCACTGACCACAGGCATTTGACACTCCAGGAAATGGTGAATGCTAAAGAATGTGGTTGAGACTGTATTACTTAAAAGAGAGCAGGCTTTGGACTCGAAACCGACTGACGAGGTAAGTAGTCTGTGTCTTTTCTTGCAGGAGCCAGCCAAGATCTGCTTTTTTTTTGGAAAGCAACAGTCACTTTACAAAAAGTTATTGAATTCTCTTTCTGTTGACCTAAGACCCCATTCACACTGAGCGACATGGAAATCGCGCTACATTGAGCGACATTGAGCGACATTGAGCGACATTGAGCGACGTGTCGCGCGACTTCTTCCTATTGGGCTGTATGCAATCAGGAGCAATATCGCTCAAAATCGCTCTAAAAAAGGGTCATGTAGAAGCGACAAGCTACCAGCGACGAGCTACAAGCGATATTGAGCGATATTGAGCGACATTGAGCGACGAGATGTGAACAGCTACATTGAAATGTATTGGTGAAGCTACATAGAGCGATATAGTGCGGAAATATGAGCGATATCGCTACAAAAATCGCGCGATAAATCGCTCAATGTGAACGGGGCCTAAAGGTCACATTATTGCCTTTACTGCTCTGACAGGCAGGCCTGGTCATACAGAGTACATTTACCTTTACTCTAAGGCCCCGTTCACATATAGCGACATACCTTTTGCAGCGGATCCGCACGGCCGGGATAGCGCGACTTTCGGGGCGACGTTCCAGCGACGATAGCGCGACCTTCCCCGTCGGGCTCCATAGAAAAAAAGCAAAATCGCGCAAAATCCGCCGAAAAAAGGGTCCGGTAGAAGCGACTTGCGACCGCGACGAGCGACATGGAGTTAAGACAGCTCCATTGAATAACATTGGCCGGCGACTTCTCGCGATATCGCGCGGCAAAAATGCGCGATATCGCGGCGGAAATCGCGCGATAATTCGCTATATGTGAACGGGGCCTAAACTACACACTGGGCTTAATGTATTTAACCAGAGTATTTAACTGGCAAATCAGTCACATTCCAGCTCACAGTTTTCTAGTCTAGGTTAAAAAACAACCCGATATTGTTTTAATGGTTCCTTTGACTAACATGCATATTTTCCTTTGTTATAAAAGAGCCTAGATGTTAGTAATGCTTGCATACAAAGTGTTTACTTTGCAAAAGGGAATACACACCTGGATGTGCTGCGTGGTAACCTCTGGGCTTGAGAAGAAGAGCTGATTGACACCTGCTGCATCTGGAGTCGTTAGATACACTTTACCCTGCCCGGGTTCTTGCCTAGTGAGGATTACCTTGCTTGGGGATGAGCTATCATTATTAGTCAAGATAAACCTTTTACTTGTGCCACTCTGATCAACTGCTGTTACAATTTGGATCTTCTGACCGGTCTGTTGATCTGTAACAAACTGATACAGTACAAAAAACAACAACTTTGATTTAAAGCAGATGGGAACAGAGCATGACAAATATACACAAACTGCACCTTTTCTAAAACAGGTTTTAGAAACAGGAAGCATAAAAGAAGACTAAAGGAGTAATACCAGACATGTTACTCCACTGCACAAATTAACCACAATGAGTTCCCTTTGCACCTCTTGAATCTATTTCCTGTGCAGATACAGCAGAATATACATGAAATGTATATATTTATGTTATGTGTGCATGTATATACCGTATATACTCGAGTATAAGCCGTACCGAATATAAGCCGAGGTACCTAATTTTACCACAAAAAACTGGGAAAAAGTATTGACCCGAATATAAGCCGAGGGTGGGAAATGAGGCAGCTACTGGTAGATAGATACCAATAAAATTACATTAATATTTAAAAGAAAAAATAACCTAGCTCTGTAAGTGACGTACCGGTAAGTAAGAAGAAACCTGACCACGCTGACTCGAGTATAAGCCGAGGGGGGGCACTTTTCAGCCAAAAAAATGGGCTGAAAATCTCGGCTTATACTCGAGTATACACGGTATACTGTATACAAATACCACTACAACAACCCATAGTCTGTTAAAAGGCTACTTTGTTTAATGATTTTGTATGTTAATTACACTTATATTGCAACCATTGTGGTTCCACTTATAGAAATGGATAACAGACTACAACACTTTAGTTGTGTAAACTGGCATGTTCTGTCTTTCCTTCTTCAAGCACTCAGTCGGCACTAAAGGATGAGTTCACTGACGTCATTAGCATGTCCAGTTTCCTTCATCCTTCATCCTTATAACCACTGGCCTATAATAGATAAACATAATAGGCATACTACTAAGAACATCCTCCAATTTTAACTTGGAACATCTGCTACCTTCACTTCCTCCCTGAAAGTTACCTTACTGCCCTGAAAGCCTGTACTGAGTACAATGGGAATAATATAAACAAAAAAAAACTTAATAGGCGGACCAAAGTTTGTGGATGGAGTCATAAGCTAGTAAACACATTTTTATTAAACAAGGAGATACTGACTTGGTGTCACATCCTCTGATAAGCTCCAGACATTAGAATACACTCCATCTCCCTTTAAGTTGTGAGCGTCAATGCCATATTAAGCCATGCGATCTTTGGACTTCAAATAGTTTAATGACAAATTCATATGGAAAAATAAATCTTTTACCACCCCTAATCATAAATAAATTGATCAAGAGTAGCTTGGTGTAAGTAGTATTTTACTATGGACTGTCTTGAGGTCAGCTGACACAGGGCCATCCCTGCACCTGACAGCAGCAGAAGTGTGTCTGAGGGCTCCCACTGCCTGAAGCAGTGAAGTGCTAGTATATGAAGGTTTTTTTTTAGACACACCTGTATTCGCTGAGGTAAGGTTATACTGGAATCTGATGGAATAAGCTGTATTCTTTGTGTAGTTCCATCCATCAGGGCTGTATGTGTCACTTCTGTCTGGGTGCGAGCAAGCTGAAAGTACAACCAATCTTTATTTATAACTGGAGTGCTGACATTTTCTGTACATCGTTACATTCCTATTAAAAGAATAATTTCTTTCTAATCAATAAATAAATAGTATAACACAAAACTACAGTAATCCTATACTTATAGGTTTGTCATTTTATGGTCTGTTTACTTTAATGTCTTTATGTTCTAGAACATTACATACATCGGGCTCAAATTGTGAAAGAGTGGTTCGAGGAGCATGGGACATCATTTTCACACATGGATTGGTCACCAGAGTCCAGACCTTAAAGGAGAACTATGAGATGAGTGATTTCCACTCACCTCATAGTTCTAGCCGACTTGTGACAATGAGACGGTCACGGGTCGGCTCAGTAGATCGGGGGGTGAGTGAACACATACTGGCGTTCGCTTACCTCTTGATCCTGTCACAGCTCTCCGCCGTGACAGGGGGAGGGCTGGATTCCCCTTTCCGATCTGCCAGCGCTGACTGGCAGAACGGACGGGGGAGGGGGCGGGTACAGCTGGCTCTGCCTCTAGATAGGCAGAGCCAGGTGTCACTCACACAGCTGGGCGGATCCCGTCATCTACGTCGGGATCCGCTCCGGCGTCTCAGTATACCGCGAGCTGTAGCTCTCGGTATACTGAGCGTAAGGTAACGGGAGGACGCTAGTTTGTGTCCTCCCGTTACCCTAAGGAGAACTATGGGGAAAAACACTGACCCCCCCATAGTTCTCCTTTAACCCTATTGAGAATGTTTTGGATGTGCTGGAGAAAAAATAACCTTTGGCTATCTTACATGCACTGCATATTTATTAACCATACAGAATTTTAATAACATTAAAGCCTACAGAATGTGAAGGCCATCTCAAAATTTTAGGGGCCTTTCAAAAGACATTTGCACATTGGGCGACTGGTTATCATTAGGTATAAAGCACATTCCCTGTCTGCACATTCACCAGATTGGGTCGAATTTACGCTATCCTTTTCCATATATTTGCCACTTACAGAGAGCACATGTTTAATGTGATTAATGATTCACCTGCTCCCTACTATGGAACATATGCTTATTCCCACACACTCACCTTAGACACAATACAATTCAAGCCTGGAATCCTTAATATACAAATGTTGGGACTTCAAAGCCAGCAGAGCAATATTCCTTTTAATGGAAGAGCAAAAGAAAGCTGGGAAAACACAGTCACGTGACTGGCCTCCATGTGGGATACAACAGATTCCACAGCGCGGCCTGCATTTTAAAAAAGCAGGCCATGTTGTGGACTAATGTTGAAGTATATAGTCTATACTAGATAGCAATATGCCCTCTCTAATAAATATCCTTATTTGTTTTATTTCTTGAAGTTTTTCAGAGCTGAACTTTATCACCTAACGTCCATTTACACCACAATCGGAATGAAATTACAAGTCAACGGAGGGTCCGTTTCCTTCCAATCCGTTGTGATACATTTTTCAACAGATGTTAACAGAAGGGCACTAAAAAACAAATGGGTGTGAATGGGGCTAGTTCACACTGGATCCATTACGTTGCTATGAAAAAAGGTAGTGCATGTTCTACTTTTTTCAGTGCAACATAGGGCTGCAACAACTAATCGACTAAATTGATTATAATCGATGATTGAAAAAGTTATCAACTTTTTCAATCATCGATTAATCGGCTTCCGATTAGTTGGCCCTGTTCACGTCTCCACACATGCTGCGCGCCACACCTCCTCCCCACCTCACGCTCGCCGCTGCCAGACCTGCATCCAAATGCCGCACCTCCTCCCCGCCTCACTGCCCGCCCACAGCCACTATCGGCTCAGGGATGCCCGGAGAAGAAGTAAGGAGGAGCAGGTATGGGGGGGGATGACAGCCTCCGATATACAGGCCCGATCTGAGAAGCAAGTTGCTGGAAGACTGCCCAGGTAAGCCTGCACTTTCCCGCACATGGTGCTCTATCATGTATTGCTGGGATTTGTATTCCTCTATAGCTGGTGGTACATTGTGCTGTACTGTATATTATACAGAACAATGTACCATCAGCTATAGAGGAATACAAATCAAAGCAATACATATTACACTGTATGTATAATGTATTGCTGGGATTTGTTGTATTCCTATATAGCTGGTGGTATATTCTGCATTGCGCTGTATAGAGGACTACAAATCCCAGCAATACTACATTATACAGCGCAATGCGGAATACCACCAGCTATAGATGAGTACAACAAATCCCAGCAATAATACATTATACAGGGGTGCAATGCCGAATACCACTAGCTATAGAGGAATACAAAACCCAGCAATAGTACATTATACAGCGCAATGCAGAATACCACCAGCTATAATGTACTATTGCTGGCATTTGTTGTATTCCTCTATAGCTGGCGGTATTCTGCATTGTGCTGTATAATGTACTATTGCTGGGTTTTGGAGTCCTCTATAGCCGGTGCCATTCTGCATTCATTGCTGTATAATTTTACACTTTCCATTTCACTATATTGCACACCACACTTTTTTCTTTTTTACTTCCACCGCTCCAAGCTTGCTCCTGTGATGGACTACAATCTCAATACCAGCTAGTAGTCCCATCACTGGAGCCATTTTTTAAAATCTATTTTATTTTTTCTCCGATAAATCGAACTTAATAATCAGCTAACTAATCGATTTTGAAAATAATCGTTAGCTGCAGCTCTAGTGCAACATAACGCAATGGAACGGAGTGGTGTGAACTAGCCCCATTCACAACCATTAATTTTTCATTGCCCTTCCGTTAGCATCCATTGAAAAACAGATCACGACGCAACGCATCCGGTGTGAATGGGCCCTCAAATTTTAACAGTGCTGTGTTGTAGATGTAGCTTTCAACTTACCTCTCCCATTTGCTGTTCAATAATCTGGTGAGCTATTTCTTCAATAGATGCCATGACCTGTCTTTAGAATAGTATTCCTGGGAGCAAGGAATGTAGCTAAGGAGTCCAGTTTTGGTTTGACTGAAGCCTATTATAATACATAAAGAAATTTACATTTTTTTTATTACTACCTGAAATTTGAAAGACGATTAACAGAAATGAAAAAGCAGTTTCAAATAATTTCATCAAATCCAATTACATTTCTGCAAATAATAAAGAGCCTGCAATTTCTGTGTTTGCTTTAAATTCTCCTACAGACTAGTAACACAAATCTCACTTATACTAAAGTCTACTTAAAGGAGAAGCACACTTGTGATGTTTGCCCTTTCCTTGGTCTAACCTAACCAACCCCTGCAAAGACGTAAACGTACCCAAATCTGTTGGCCACTTATTCTGCTGTATGTTGACACCCTGAGCTACAAGTCTTTACTGTACTGGCTGCACCTGTGCATAATATCCACATAGACATTTGTGGGACCAAGAATCTCAGGCCTAAGGACACAGCCCCAAAGAAGTAGAAATATTTTATATTACTATCATATATTTCTTTAGTAAAATGTAGAATCCCCCCAGGCTTATGCCCATGCTAAAATGTTTGGGGCATACCAAATGGAAGGGGACTGAACAGTCCTCCCTTTTAGTCTCACAAAAGTAGTTTCTTTTCTATTATGAATATGGATTGCACTCCCAAGTTACATGAAGAAGCTTTCAATACACGCAGATGAGCCTCCTGTACTTGGTATGACACCAGAATGATGAATGACAAGAATGGTTTCAGAGCAGTACTGAACTTTAAAAGAAACCTGTGCTGACAGAAATATAGAGGCTTACATCACTAGCTTCATTCAGAAAGTCTGGGAATTTTGCCTGATCCTCTGACTTCAGTATTTTGCATGCGTCACCAACATTGAACTCCTTATTTGCTTACTTGCTCTGACAGGTGACTTGAGAAATACTGAAGGCATGGGATCTAGGGCTGCAACAACTAATCGACATAATCGATTATTGAAAAAGTTGTCAACTTTTTCAATCATCAATTAATCGGCTTCTGATTGGTTGGCCCTGTTCACGGCTCCACACACGCTGCGCGCCACACCTCCTCCCCACCTCACGATCGCCGCTGCCAGACCCACCCGCATCCACGCTCCGCACCTCCTCCCCGCCTCACACTCACTGTCCGCACCAAATCCACGATCGGCACAGGGATGCGGTGAGAAGAAGTAAGGAGGAGCAGATTTGGGCGGTGACAGCTGCCGATAGAAAGGTCTGATCTCAGAAACAAGTTGCTGGAAGACTGCTCAGGTAAGCCTGCACTTTCCCCCCACATGGAGCTCTATAATGTATTGCTGGGATTTGTATTCCTCTATAGCTGATGGTACATTGTGCTGTATATTATACATAGGAATACAAATCCCAGCAATACATTATACACTGTATGTATAATGTATTGCTGGGATTTGTTGTACTCCTCTATAGCTGGTGATATTCTGCATTGCGCTGTATAGAGGACTACAAATCAAGGAATAATACATTATACAGATACGCAATGCAGAATACCACCAGCTACTGAGGAGTACAAAAAATCCCAGCAATATTACATTATACAGTCGTGCAATGCCGAATACCACTCGCTATAGAGGACTACAACACCCAGCAATACTACATTATACAACGCAATGCAGAATACCGCCAGCTATAATGTACTATTGCTGGGATTTGGAGTCCTTTAGCCGGTGCCATTCTGCATTCATTGCTGTATAATTTTTTTTACTTTTCCATTTCACTATATTGCACACCACACTTTTTTTTTCTTTTTTACTTCCACCGCTCCAAGCTTGCTCCTGTGATTGACTGCAATCTCAATACAAACTAGTAGTCCCATCACTGGAGCCATTTTTTAAAATGTATTTTATTTTTTATCCGATTAATCGAACTTACTAGTCGGCTAACTAATCGATTTTGAAAATAATCGTTAGCTGCAGCTCTAATGGGATCAGCATACCAGCCAGACAACTAGCATTTTTACAGAAGCAAAGTCTGCAATAGCAACAACAGTACCTCTCTGGACACAGCTGCCGTAGTGGACATCTGTAAACCCTAGTTGCCTGACTATAATCAGCACTTTATCTAAACGCAGCTTTTCAAACGAACCACTGTACTATAATGCAAAACAGGAGTACAAACATGATAGAAACATTTCGCATTAGATTCCCTTTTAAGATGTTTTTCCTTATTTACACCATGTGATCCTGCCAGTAGCAACTTCCTCGTCTAGAATCACTCACCCCACTGTTTCTATAGCGTGGCACCACTGACACACTAGGCTGTTCTCCTGATTTGTACTACAAACATTTTTCCCTCTTTTTAGCTCTATTGCATAGGGAGGATCTCATGTAGATTAGAGAAGATAATTGGGAAGGTTGATAGGATAATTTACTTATTTCAGGACAGAGCACAAGAAGTTACAAGGACAGAAGATTTCTTTCAGGATCAACAGGTATTTCTATGTACTTGTAGGAAATCTACTTGGGCTGAAAGAAAGAAAACTAATGCAGCCACCACAAATAATGACTGGTAAGCTGCTATATATTACATTACATTTTGTTCTTGGGTTTAGATATACTTTAAAAGCAGAACTCCAACCAAAAAGAAGATAAAAACAAATAACCTTTTAAAAGACAAAATAACAGAATAGTTTGCTGCAGTATTCACCTTTGATCCAGATATTTCCCCCGCAGTACTTTTTCTGCTGCTAGATGTCCTAAGTCTGAGCAGCAGCATCATTCAACCCACTTTCTCTGAGACCAGGCAATCCTGGATCCACCCCAACCTATGACTGCACAAGGAGAAGCAGCACAGTGATGAGCTCATCTCTGTCACTTTGCTTTCTCTTCCTATCAGCATGTTCCTTGCCAGCACATGAACTGACTGGCTCCTATCACACAGCCTTGCTGTACAGGGATCTGATACTTACACTGCTTGCATGCACATTTAATGACACCTTTAATTACACCTCCCCTGGTCCAACAATGCACTTACATGTCTAAAGTCCCGACCAGATAGCTTCTGCACACTCCCTGCCCCGCCGTATGGAATGCTAATAATGCTCCCAAATGGTGAGCACGGTAACACAACCATGCTGACCAATAAGAAACACTCCTGAGCCGGGGACCAGGTCCTGGAAGAAGTGCTTCTCAGTGGTTAGTGTGACAATAGACACAATAGCAATACTTTTAGCAGTGTTAGGGGAAAGAACTGGAAAAAGGTATAGGTTGACATATTTCGCCTCTCATCAACATACTAATAATTTTTTTTAGAATACCTGTTTTCATCACATATCTCAGTTTAGACCCAGTGATATGATTGCTGGGTCTCTGTGCTTCTCTATACAGTGCAGTCAGATAGTGGCTGGTGTTAAGGGTCATCAGGGTGCAGCATATAACATGACAGCAACCTGCCTCGGTACTCCTCTCAAGAGTCTTTAGCCCTGATGTAAGAAGTGGGCTGACTCTTGGGAGGAGTTATGCAAATATCAAGTTTATTATATGGGTGCATGTCAGTCTGGAGAAGTGGGCCTTCACAGACTACCATAGGTAATGCCCACATGTGATGTGATTCTCCATGAGTGAAAAGGGCAGGTGAAGGGGCAGTTAGGCTGAAGAGGAAAGAGATAGGTAATGCTGCATGTCCTCCAGCAAGTAAATTAAAGTAGTATTAAAGGCAGACAGTGCATCGCTTCTCTGCCTTTTGGCTAAGATCAAGTGTAGTATCTGTTCTTATCAGTTCTAGAGGGGAAAAGCATGGACTGTCCTTGGGACGGACGGTTGCTTAGTACCCTCAGGAGTGAAGGTAGGTGCTTGAGGCGACTCCCTAGCAGCAGGGGGGGTTTCCTCGGCACTATTTCCTACTGACTGAACGGATGCGAAGCTTGGTCGCGCTTGAGGTTTCGGGGGCGGCAGAAGACCGTGGTGTTGTGCCCCCTGGGGGTGGCGTCCCAGGGGTGCGCAGAAAGTCACTTGGGTATGGGACCCAACATGACTCACTGTGCACTTGGTCACACACCACATTGCAATTTTCTGCACTTCGCCTCCAAGACAGGCCTTATGGCTAGTCTGGGGCAATATTTTTGCAATCCGGCCCCTAAGGCCTGTCAGAGTGGTGCACTGGCACTTTAGATTTATTTAAGCACTTCTTTATTTTAAGATTTGACCCACAGATTGCTGAAGGTGCAGGTTTCTTCGGGACCTATTCCTGATGCTGGGAGGAGATTCTGTGCCTCCTACGGGGTTCTCTGTCTCCTCCCACCCAGGAGGGGGGTTTCTCTTCGGGAGATCCCCCCTGCCTAGTACTGTGAGGGACCTGTTTCGGCAGGTCCCCGACGGAAACGGTCCACCGGCCTTCGGGTTGGTGGTCCGACAGTCTCAACCCCTGTCAGGAGCCTTGCGCCCCGGGGGGTCGGGAAAGTAGGTCCCTTCTTTCGAAGGACCTTGCACCCTTGTGCACGTTTTTGTGTGCTGTGATTTCACGGTTCACTTTTTTTGTTCACAGGGGGAAGTTTGATTCACGTCCACGGGCTTCGATTAAATCTGTTCTTATCAGTTTTCAGGGAAGAAAGGCATCGAGCCACCGGACGGGCAGGATGCTCGGTATTCCCTGATGTGATTGGTGGGTACTGGAGGGGCCTCCTTTCCTCCTGGGTTGATTCTGGTCCGGTTACGCCGTGCTTGCCCCCAGTTGTAGGCAGGAGGCTCCGAAGGTGCTAATGCCTCCTGAGAGAATGGATGCGAAGCTTGGTCTGGCTGGAGGGTTGGGGGCGGCAGAAGCCCGTGGTGTTGTGCCCCCTGGGGGTGGCGTCCCAGGGGTGCTCAGGAAGTCACTTGGGTGTGGGACCCCACATTGACTCACTGATCACTTGGTCACACACCACCTTGCATTTTTGTGCATAACGCCTCTTGGATAGGCCTTATGGCTAGTCCGGGGCAATATTTTTGCACTCCGGCCCCTAGGGCCTGTCAGCGTGGTGCACTGGCACTTATTATTTATAGCATTCTATGCACGATACACGATTGGCCTTTTTTTGGCATTGAC